AAACATACGGCACTCTGAGGACAAACATTTAAGAATAGTGTGACATGCAAGTGCATTTAATTAGATTTATAATTTGTTTATCTACATTTCCATGCTGAATAGCCATAATAAGCCATTCCATTATGGATACAAAAAATTTTCGTGGTGGAGAAAACCTCATCCACCACGAAGTAGCCAAACATTGGTTTTCATCCTTTACCTATGTTCGTAACAGCTCTGATAGCGATGCATATGCTTCCACCTCGTTTGTCAGCTCAGATCAGCAAATGACGTTCGAAAGAATTATTTACATCATCGTTTTGAATGATTTGCGTTATGGGGCTGAACCAATACCATATGCATTTCCTTTTAGTATGACATTCAATCTGCAGAGAGCATTACGCACTTCAACTGAAGGCCCTATCCCTTCTCATAACAATTTTCATCCTGTATTCGAGAGGAAAATCATCTGATTTCAAAACAACCGTCATCCGGTTGCAGCTATCATTCGAAAATGCGATTTCGGTGTTTTGCTTTGAATGGTCTGAGTTTTCATTCGATCAGAGGATGATGTTTGTGTACAGTGTAGCTTAGCTGTAAATATTTTGAATTCTTGAATAAAATTTTCAGTTCAACAAACCTGCATACATTTGTCAAATTAAGTTTATTTGTCATTTCCATGATTATTCGTTCAAATATTAATCTGAATTTCATTAGGTAGTCGCCAGGGACGTCAAGTTATCTTATACCTGCCTTGATTGATGACACCAACGTGTACTGCTGAAATGATGATATGTTCTTTTTTATTTTTTTACATAATTTTTCAGTACAACAAACCTGGATGCGGTTGAATAATAGATTCTTCATTTAGATGTTTTATTTTTCTCATTTTTAGAATAAAGTTAATGATTCGGTAGGATCATTAACTTTATTCTATATATTTATTTATTTAATACGCTATTGTGTAATAATTATCAGATCTTATCACTGTAGTAGAACATTGGACCCCTAGTGGTTTTAGATGGGATTGATTACAAGTCTTCAGAAGTATAATGTGGATAAATAGAGAATGTTTTTAATTATTTTATTCTTCTTTTTCAATCGTTGATACAATGTTTTATTTAATGGTATTATATGTTCGATCAGACTGCATATTATTATTATTATTATTTTTTCATCTCATTATATTATGCTACAATTGTTTAATCACAATTTATGTTCTTTCATCACATTATGTATTGTTTAATAGAACTGTACTGTGTGTAAATGTTTTAACAGACTTCATGTTATATTATATTGAAATACTTGCTTATTTATTTTACTATTATTTCTTACTCCTTCTTTTTATATGAAATTGTGTTATATAATATTAATTTGTATTTCATCCGTTTATGGTTTATTGCATAATGGCATTAGTTTTCAAATTATGTGATATTAGCTTTTTATATTCAATTCATGGTTAAGCATTTTAGATAATCCAGGGCATCTGTAGGAGCGATTCCGTTTTCTAGTTATCGGATTCCAATAATTAATATTTTGATATTCAATGACAGCGGATTGTTTTTTTTAGTTTCAGAATTAGCATAACTGCAATATATAGATACATACATTTGTTTGATATTATTGGATAAAACAATGCATATTTTATTTTCATATTGAATACTGCTATTTACATTAAATTAATACGGAGATAGGAGAGAGCATTAGGTTATCATTCGAGCTGGAGCCCTTCTTAAGAAACCATCCGGTGGGATGCTTAATAATCGATTGTTGGATCGTATCATTGGAAGGAGACTATAATTTTCCTGCGTATTTCGCGTAAGTATCTCTGCCCACGGGTTTCACAAAAATAAGTCAAGTTATTTAATTATTTTACCTTTTCACGGTTTTAAGAAAATATATTAAATAGTATCCTTAGTAAATATAATGTCCCATGTCCAAGTAGCCTCGATTTTGCGATCTACTGATTCATTACTTTAGTATTATAATTTTAAAACATTCCAGGACACGTCATAATATCTTTTCATATCACATGAATTAAAGTATGTTTAAAAACTATTTACAATACATTGAAATCATGGTTATTTGTATTTTGTGTTATTTATTTATTTATTTTAGATATTTTGCATATCCCTATACATTGTATTTCCATTAAATGTATTATGATTATATATAAATTTATCCTGTATATTAAAAAAAAATGCGGGGATGGGAGGGAGCATCAGGGCATCATTGAAGTTGTAACTGGACAATGGAGTGGAGTGCCAACCAGAGTCTAGGAGGGAATGTGTACTGTCATTTTAGATAGTTACATTTCACTTCAACAGTTGCAATGAATTTGACGCGCTCTTCTAAAACAAACCATCCCGTGGAAAACTTAACATGTATTGCGAATTTCGTTATTCGTTTTGTTGGAAGGAGATTCTCTTATTCCCACGGGTTTCGCGTAAGTGCTTCTGCTTACGGGCCCGTCCAACCCTTTTTGGCCCTTCATACAGCAGAATGTTGAATTCAGAATGATGACGGAATTTGATCTTGCTGTTGAGTGGAGCCGCATGCAGGGCAAGACCCAAGCTAGGATGGTGGCTACTTACATACATACATACATAGCTAATCTCTTATTTCCTGTCTTTACGCTAACAAAATCTCTTTGGCCTGGCATTGCACGGCTTATATCATCGTCCTCAAAAAAATTCAAAACCAGTTCTTTTGTTTCATTACTCAAAGCTTTTCCAGAGCTTGAACCTTGAAATGAATCAAATACATTATCTCTTTCCTTTCTTGCATCTGATGCCATATTTCTACTGGTTTTAAATTCGTCTACAATTTTTTGTACTGACCATGATTTTGGCAACAATGATAAAATTGATAGTTTTTCTTGCCTTGTGGCTGAATTTAAAAATTTAATTTTCATATTTTCTATGACTTCATCAAACTCGTTTGCTTTTTCTGTTTTAGCGTCTAATTTAAAAAGATTTCTTCGTACACCTTCGACGATTTCAGCGCACTTTTTTTCAGGATAGTGAACATTTTTAACCTTACCTAAATCTATAGGCGAAACACGAATAGCTGCTATTCCTCGATGATTTAATTGTGCTTAGCGTTGACTCTGATGGTATCGTGACCAAACTTTCATAGCTTTGCGAATCAGGTACATCAGGTATGGTCTGAACAGTTGGCATCCTTGAGCCGCCGGCTACGCTTTGTTCCTCGTTTTGGGTGAGGTGAGCTCTTGAATCAATATGTAGACGGCAAGACGAACAAACACGAAAATCCTTGGTGTTCAGTGTGGATACCTTGGAAAATCCAATTGATTTTAGTTTTTGGATGATACCATCCGTGAGATATCGCAGCTCTTTCGAACACTGAATGTCTTTGAATGGGCGAATACATCTTATTTTACTCATTTTGTAATCTGTAACATAGAAAATATTTTCCAATTGTTAGTTTTGTACGAAAATATCACAAAACATATAATTAAAATGTGTATTTAAAACTTACCTTTGCACCAAAACGTGTTACACTTTCCTTTACAATTATTATGTTATCAAACAACACTGGATCTCGTTCAAAAACACAGGATTATGAGCTGAAATTACTATAATCACTATGCTACTAGCAACCTTTCTGCATTTACTGTTTGGTTTTCCCTAGTAGATACTGGATGAATTCAGAACCGAGTCAGACATTATTATACAGCTCACGGGTAGAAATCATAGAATGCTGGGTAAAGACTGTTGGAAGATAGGTAGAGTTGAACGCTCAGGTATCGTCGAACCTTCAGGTACGAGTTTGGAGAGTTGGAGCGAGGTAGATTTGCTGGCGTAGGTATATTGTTATTGAAGAAGATTGTAAATTGTATATACCTGGAATGAATAAAGAGTGCGGCGGTTGTTGATTGAGGTATCAGTCGGCAGCCCTCTAGTTTGATGGAAGGTGACTACTGCGTTCTTTTTTATTTATTATTAAGGAACGGTCAACGACGGAGCTAGCCTCGTTATGGCCAGCGTGGCCATGGTGGACTAGTTCCAACAAAGACCATGTTTACAATCACCAACTGTACGTAGTACAGCTAACTGGTATCTGATTACCTGTATCTAATACTTGTTAGCACGTTTTCAGCACAACGCACCAAAAATCATTTGAAGAAATCATTGTTCCTGATAGTGGGATTTTGTAACTTGTTTTTCAAAATACTTTTAAGGCAGAGAATTTCACTCGAATCTTTAAGCTGTCAGTGTCATTTTAACTCAAAATTTTCCAATCTTTCCGAAAAAAATACTTTTGAAACTGGAAAAACACGGAGTACATCCGAAAAGGGCCAAAACTTATTAAGTTATCAAAAAAAAAAACAATATTAAATCAGTAATATCTTCTAAACGGTGCATCTTAGAAAAATGTTACCCAAGTACTTTTTTTTGCAAATTTGATGTACTTTCATAAAATTAGGGTGACAAACTTTTTTTTTACTTTTCTTAATAGCTTTTTTGAAAATTGTATTTTTTTAAAAAACATTTTTTTTCATTGTAACCTATTTTTCTCCAGAACAACCTACTGTGCACTAGATAGCATTTTCAGTCAGCTATAACATAAGGATAATAAAAAAATTATTGACATGTCACTTTAAAGGGAAAATTTATATTTTAGTTCAAAACACAAATACCAAACTTTTTTTTTACCGTGCATATTTTCTCCATATAACACTAACAATTGTCTAAAACTTCTTCCAAGACACCAAACCAATCGGACAAACCGTTTCCGAGATACAATTTTTTGAAGATATCATGTGCATTTTTCATAGGCCCTTCTCATAAGTAAGGCTACATTCAAAATGGCGAACCAAGTATGCAAAACGGCGTTTTTCTTCCCCAAAAACTTGTTTGCAAGGTTTCATGCAAATCAAAAAATACAAAAAATAAAAACTGGAAAAATTTCCCACTTGTTCGTGGAACCGCTCATCCATGACAGATACGACAGATACAGTGGGTGAGGTGATCACATTTCAAAGAAAACGCGAAGCGTAAAGTATTCAATAGAACAGTTTTTATTTTGAATCACATAATAGCTTGCTACATTTGAAATATCAAGTAATACTTTTATTTTCACGTTTTTGAATTATTTAAACTGCAACAAACAACTGAAACTACCCTAACATGAGTACAGAGAATTGTTTAGATGCTCTTCATAGTTTTGACATTTTTTTTTCGCAGAACAAAAATAATTAAACAATTTTCAAAACAATTAAGGAACTAACTCACGAACGGGGTAAGCTTGCTCTAAAATTCTTTGCTCGAACCTAATAATATTTGACTAGATACTATTTAGGTATAGTTTTTTTTTTTAATTTTCTTTCTTAAAAACAAACTGTGCAACCTTTCTAGGAAAAGTATGGCATGTTGCGCGTGTAGCACGGATGGTGCCTTCGCGTGACATCCCGCTCGCTCATGGTCGGTACCTTGGGTTTGTGCTCCGGTGCGATTGCGTTGCCCATCACGGACAAATTGTCAAGCTGACCGGCTCCGTGCGGACTCTCCAGCGACATCCGACGGTTACCGTGGGTGTATGCATTACTTCTGGGCGGGAGAGAAGAAATGGTTAGATGTTAGTTGGTATAATTTTCCGGTTATAAGCTAGCACTAAACATTCAAGGTGTATTCGTTAAAGCCAAAGAGTTGCAATGTCAAATCGCTGCAAGGGCGCGTATTTGATTGAAGGGAATTTTGAATAGTATGATCACACTGGTATTAATCAGTTTCAGGAGGAAAACATCAAAAGCAACCATTTACCCATAGTCTATGGATGAGGGATCATGATAGCGCGGCTGGTGCGAGTTGTATGAGGAGAACTTGCCACCACCGCCATTTTGCAATGAGGGATGGAGTGATTGTATGGACATAGCACGTGGCCTGCCGCCGCGATTTCCGCCACCAGCTGCCGTCGTATTTGTTGTTGTTGTTGGTGGACCAGCGACCGTGGATGATGATTGCTGTTGATGGTGATAGGGGGAAGACGGACTATATAGATGAGAAGGCGCCTGTTCGTGCGCTTGCTGATGCTGGTGGGAGCGCATGTGGTACTGGTTGGCGACAGTTTTCGTTGTAGCGGAAGCCACGACACTACATTCCATCGTCTGCTAGAGAAAAGGCATGGTGAATGGGATGCGAATGGCATTATTTCTATTAGGATTTGAATGTTCATTTATGGGAACCGTAGGACACAAACACGCAGCACATTGAGATGGTGTGAAAATGATGTTGCAGAACACTGCATTCATGGTTTTTCGCTATCTATGTATTCAAGCTGACAAAAGCAGAATCGACTACGATTCGTCATGGAAATCTTTATTATGAATTGCTTTGCTTATGTAGTGGAAAATGGCACTAGAACGTTTCTATGGGAGTGCGATTTATTGTTGGATGGTGTCTAAGTATTGCTACTGGTAATCTACCAAGCGTCTCCATTGGTTTGGGCCTGTTTATGAAGACACCTAATGAAGCATGATTGAAATTTGCGTTCAATGATGCGCATTAACGTAAATTGGCTTATTGGAGATTATAATCTGACAACTTTTAGGACCTTCGGAAAATTCCATGAAACACTTGTAGCAGCTCCACATTTCAGCATCAATTCATGAACATGCCCCGACAAAACTTTTGAGCCCTTACAGCTTCGTGGCATCAGCCGGCGCCGGTGGTGTAGTGGTAAGCGTGACTGCTTTCTAACACCCCGATGGGTCTGGGTTCAATCCTTGCCGAGGTCGGTGGGATTTTTCTGAGGCATAAAAATCTCTGGTCACGTCTTCCTTCGGAAGGGAAGTAAAGCCGTTGGTCCCGGCCCATGTGTGTTGAATGGGTGCGATATCCTACGCAGGTGTTGAAACTGCCTTCCTGCACATTCGATTGCCGTCAATGGATGGCAATCGATATCTGTCGGTGATTGGCACTAGATTGCGGAACAAAGGCCGACGTTAAATAAAGGAAAGAAGAAGAAGCTTCCTGGCATCCCATAACATCATGTGAGATATATTGCTGTAATAACAAAATATATCACGTTCTTCAAAATTATCTTGGAGTTTACACGTATACGTCCGAACGATCAGCATAATTCCGAAAAAGGAGGGGCTTCAATTTTTAATCAAAAAGTATAAAAAGAGTCCCGATTTGCTCAGTGCTAGGTACTTAAATTTGTTATCCCTAAAAGGGAGATATTTCAACAACGTAAGTAATATGACAGCTCATAGTTTGGCGAATATCGTATGACGAATGTAACACACCACAGGCGATTTTTTTCATAAACTTATTTATAACTAAACCTAATGTTATTTATTATCGAAATGGCACAAAATATTAGAGTGGGTTGGAAATGCTAACATGAAGCATTTAGTGTTATAATTTATTAGCTAGATAATGATCTTTAAAAGAGGGTAGGTGGATAGTTCCGTTAGAGTACGACAGTATGAAAATTGAATAGAAGTTGAAAATGAGCGAAGGGCCATTAATGCGACAGTTTTTGAAGTCAGACGCACATATTTTGCCAAACCCGTACGATGTACGCGGAGACTTGAAGTATGTCTTCAAGTCTACAGGCAAAAGACGTGCGTCCTCCTTCTGCTCATAACTGTCTGCGGCTGTGGAATAGTTCTAGCGACGTTTCATCACTACCTAAAGCCCCACGTTTGCGAGAGCATTTCCAGTCGATGGTGTGTTATAATGCAATTCTTCTTTACCCAATTATTGTGTTGCTCCTCTCGTCATGACCAACGTGGTCATCTCAGAGAGATAGCAGTAGGGTGGTTGTTGCGTGTTGTACCATCATCAGCAGTGTTGACGGCTACTCCCGCCTCGAGTTGTTACATTCAAAGTGTTTTTATGTTACTTCATAGGCGAAGTTAGCGTTTTCAGAGTTGGTTGGAAATGCTAACATGAAGCTTTTAGGTAGTGATGAAACGTCGCTAGAATTATTCAACAGCCGCAGTCAGTTATGAGCAGAAGGAGGACGCACGTCTTTTGCCTGTAGACTTGAAGACATACTTCAAGTCTCCGCGTACATCGTACGGGTTTGGCAAAATATGTGCGTCTGACTTCAAAAACTGTCGCATTAATGGCCCTTCGCTCATTTTCAACTTCTATTCAATTTTCATACTGTCGTACTCTAACGGAACTATCCACCTACCCTCTTTTAAAGATCATTCTCTAGCTAATAAATTATCACACTAAAAGCTTCATGTTAGCATTTCCAATCAACTCTGAAAATGCTAACTTCGCGTATGAAGTAACATAAAAACACTTTGAATACAAAATATTAGTTGAAAGTATCGTTTAGATCTATTCACTTAAAGTAATAGTGTTTTGTTTTAAAATAAAAATACAAACAAAGTTCAAAAATCTACCCAGCCGATTTTCTCAACTGAGACCAAATGTTACTTGCGACCAGTGGCGTCGCGTAACCTCACTGTTTACCTGTTCAACAACTTGGAAAATGTTATTTAGAGTCATTTTCAGATTCAAATCAGTTTCCAAAGGCAAAGGGTCTTCTAGTTTCACTGATTTGTATCAATTGAAATTGTTCTATTTGTATGCGTTTTGAGAGTTGTTGAACAGGTAGATTGAGGTTAGGGCTACGCCACTGCTTACGACCGATTGAAAAATCACTCCAGTTATGTTCCACATGATGTGATGAAACCCGGTCTCTGTTCAGCAATCGAGTGCCAATCACCCGACGAGCATCGATTGCCAATTGACGATTAATCGCCTACGGCAATAGAGTGCTAAGGAGGCAACTTTCACACCTAGAACGCCTTCCGAAGGAAAACGTGACCAAAGATTGTTTTTTTTTTGTTGGGGGGACTTGAACCACTGCGTCCATTATTAGAACTTTTGTGGTACAAAACCAAAGATATTTTCACCTCAGAAAAATCCCAACGACCTCGGCTGGGATTGAACCCAGACACACTGAGGTTAGAAAGCAGTCACGTTTACTACTCAACCACCGGCGCAATGTGCAACTATATATCTTACAAGATATAATGGAGCTCTACAAAGCCCTACGGGTTCAACAATCTAACAATACCTCGTTGAGTCTGTAGAACATCAAGATATGTCCTGGCGGATGATTAAGATAATCAAGGATATCTTGCAACACAACCTTCCCAAGCAGCACACTACCATCGAAATAAGTTGCTGCAACTTGATTGTGACTGGAATGGGTTGCCCACAAGTAACCACAATTGTTCAGTGACAAGTGTGCTGCTAGGGTTATGTCTCACATGATGTTATGAGGTATTACGAAGCTCTACGGATTTGTATGCTAAATCAGAACATCATACAAAACTTTGTTGAGCCTGCCCAACAAACAATTTGTGCTGATTAAAAGCTGAATAAGCCATCTTTTAGTTGAAGAAGCATATTTTTGACTGAATAAGGTATTATTCTACTTCCATTGTTTGTTGGGTGTATATCTTCAAGATCTAAACTTCAAGATAATTTGGAGACCCCGAACTACTTTGCCAACATCTATGTATTCCACATGTTATTATGCGACTCCACGCAGCTTTAGGGGGTAATTTTTTTAGTCTGAACATCGTAGAATACCTTAATGAGACTGTAGCTCATCAAGATCTGAACGGTTTCCATATATGCGGTCCGTATTAAGCGAATATCTGGAGGGATAGCTGTATGGCAACATTTGTATTCTTGCTTACCTTGTATCAAATTAAATTCGGTAGAAATTACTAAAAAAAAATTAGAACAGGGTCAATTAGAGGACCACTAGGGCCAAAAGCTGGCACACTGACCCTACCTTTTCTATTCAATTTCATTTTTTTCTGTTTGATATTTTTGAAAATCATTTTGTGATGGGTGTCATGAAAATCACCTGTGATGAAACTCATTTGGGATATCCTGGAACAATTATCATGAAACAGCATGCTTATGCTCTCGATGCTATGGAGCAGTGTTTCTCAATCTATGGGTCGCGACCCACCGGTGCGTCGCGAGCTGCCCATAAGTGGGTCGTTTTTTCAAGTAAAATTTGACTTCGCTTCTCCAAATCCAAATTCAATTGCGCTTTTCCAATCAAAATTTGACTTCGCTCCTCAAAATTCAAAACCATTTGCGCTTTTCCAAGTAAAATTTGAGTTCGCTTCTCGTAATCCAAATTCGTTTGCAATTTTCCTAGTAAAATTTGACTTTGCTTCTCAAAATCCAAATCCATTTGCGGTTTTCCAAGTAAAATTTGACTTGGGTTCCCGTAATCCAAATCCATTTTCGCTTTTCGAAGTAAAATTTGACTTCGCTTCTCGAAATCCACTTCGCTTCTCGAAATCCAAATCCATTTGCTTTTTTCCATGTAAAATTTGACTTCGTTTCTCGTAATCCACATTCGTTTGCGCTTTTCCATGTAAAATTTGACTCCAAATCCATTTGTGCTTTACGAAGTAAAATTTGACTTCACTTCTCGAAATCTACTTCGCTTCTCGAAGTCCAAATTCAATTGCGCTTTTCCAAGAAAAATTTGACTTCGCTTCTCAAAATCCAAATCCATTTGCGCTTTTCCAAGTAAAATTTGACTTGGCTTCCCGTAATCCAAATCCGTTTACGCTTTTCGAAGTAAAATTTGTAGTAAATTTTACTTTGCTTCTCAAAATTCATATCCATTTGCGCTTTTCCAAGTAAAATTTGGCTTGGCTTCCCGTAATCCAAATCCGTTTGCGCTTTTCGAAGTAAAATTTGACTTCGCTTCTCGAAATCCAAATCCATTTTCGCTTTTCGAAGTAAAATTGGTAGTAAATTTTACTTCGCTTCTCGAAGTCCAAATTCAATTGCGCTTTTCCAAGTAAAATTTGACTTCACTTCTCAAAATTCAAATCAATTTTCGCTTTTCGAAGTAAAATTTGACTTCGATTCCTGTTATCCAAATCCATTTTTGCTTTCCAAGTAAAATTTGACTTCACTTCTCAAAATTCAAATCAATTTGCGCTTTTCCAAGTAAAATTTGACTTGGATTCCCGTAATCCAAATCCATTTTCGCTTTTCGAAGTAAAATTTGTAGTAAATTTTACTTCGCTTTTCGAAGTCTAAATTCAATTGCGCTTTTCGAAGTAAAATTTGACTTTGCTTCTCAAAATCCAAATCCATTTGCGCTTTTCCAAGTAAAATTTGACTTGGCTTCCCGTAATCCAAATCCATTTGCGCTTTTCGAAGTAAAATTTGACTTTACTTCTCAAAATCCAAATTCATTTTCGCTTTTCCAAGTAAAATTTGACTTCGCTTCTCGAAATCCAAATCCATTTGCGCTTTTCCAAGTAAAATTTGACTTGGATTCCCGTAATCCAAATCCATTTTCGCTTTTCGAAGTAAAATTTGTAGTAAATTTTACTTCGCTTTTCGAAGTAAAATTTGTAGTAAATTTTACTTCGCTTTTCGAAGTCCAAATTCAATTGCGCATTTCCATGTAAAATTTGACTTTGCTTCTCAAAATCCAAATCCATTTGCGCTTTTCCAAGTAAAATTTGACTTGGCTTCCCGTAATCCAAATCCATTTGCGCTTTTCGAAGTAAAATTTGACTTTACTTCTCAAAATCCAAATTCATTTTCGCTTTTCCAAGTAAAATTTGACTTGGCTTCTCGAAATCCAAATCCATTTGCGTTTTTTCAAGTAAAATTTGACTTCGCTTCTCGTAATCCACATTCGTTTGCACTTTTCCAAGTAAAATTTCACTTGGATTCCCGTAATCCAAATCCATTTTCGCTTTTCGAAGTAAAATTTGTAGTAAATTTTACTTCGCTTCTCGAAATCCAAATCCATTTGCGTTTTCCAAGTAAAATTTGACTTCGCTTCTCGTAATCTACATTCGTTTGCGTTTTTCCAAGTAAAATTTGACTTGGATTCCCGTAATCTAACTCCATCTGTGCTTTACGAAGTAAAATTTGACTTCACTTCTCGAAATCTACTTCGCTTCTCGAAGTCCAAATTCAATTGCGCTTTTCCAAGTAAAATTTGACTTTACTTCTCAATATCCAAATCCATTTGCGCTTTTCCAAGTAAAATTTGACTTGGCTTCACGTAATCCAAATCCGTTTGCGCTTTTCGAAGTAAAATTTGACTGCTTCTCAAAATCTACTTCGCTTCTCGAAATCCAAATTCAATTGCGCTTTTCCAAGTAAAATTTGACTTCGCTTATCGAAATCCAAATCCATTTGCGTTTTTCCAAGTAAAATTTGACTTCGCCTCCCGTAATCCAAATCCATTTTCACTTTTCGAAGTAAAATTTGTAGTAAATTTTACTTCGCTTTTCGAAGTCCAAATTCAATTGCGCTTTTCCAAGTAAAATTTGACTTGGCTTCCCGTAATCCAAATCCGTTTGCGCTTTTCGAAGTCAAATTTGACTTTGCTTCTCAAAATCTACTTCGCTTCTCGAAGTCCAAATTCAATTGCGCTTTTCCAAGTAAAATTTGACTTCGCTTCTTGAAATCCACATTCGTTTGCGCTTTTCCAAGTAAAATTTGACTTTGCTTCTCGAAATCCAAATCCATTTACGCTTTTCCAAGTAAAATTTGACTTTACTTCTCAAAATCCAAATCCATTTGCTCTTTTCCAAGTAAAATTTGACTTGGATTCCCGTAATCCAAATCTATTTTCGCTTTTCGAAGTAAAATTTGACTTTGCTTCTCGAAATCTACTTCGCTTCTCGAAATCCAAATTCATTTGCGCTTTTCCAAGTAAAATTTGAATTCGCTTCTCGAAATCCACTTCGCTTCTCGAAATCCACTTCGCTTCTCTAAATCCACTTCGCTTCTCGAAATCCACTTCGCTTCTCGAAATCCACTTCGCTTCTCGAAATCCACTTCGCTTCTCGAAATCCACTTCGCTTCTCGAAATCAAAATCCATTTGCGTTTTCCAAGTAAAATTTGACTTCGTTTCAAGTAATCCACACTCGTTTGCGCTTTTCCAAGTAAAATTTGACTTGGATTTCCGTAATCCAAATCCATTTGTGCTTTTAGAAAGTAAAATTTGACTTCGCTTCTCAAAATCTACTTCGCTTCTTGAAGTCCAAATTCAATTGCGCTTTTCCAAGTAAAATTTGACTTGGATTCCCGTAATCCAAATCCATTTGTGCTTTTCGAAGTAAAATTTGACTTCGCTTCTCAAAATCCAAATCCATTTGTGCTTTTCGAAGTAAAATTTGACTTCGCTTCTCGAAGTCCAAATTTAATTGCGCTTTTCATAGTAAAATTTGACTTGGATTCCCGTAATCCAAATCCATTTGCGCTTTTCCAAGTAAAATTTGACTTTGCTTCTCAAAATCTACTTCGCTCCTCGAAGTCCAAATTCAATTGCGCTTTTTGAAGTAAAATTTGACTTCGCTTCTCGAAATCCAAATCCATTTGCGCTTTTCCAAGTAAAATTTGACTTTACTTCTCAAAATCTAAATCCATTTGCTCTTTTCCAAGTAAAATTTGACTTGGCTTCTCGGAATCCAAATTCGTTTGTGCTTTTCCTGATGAAAATATTAAAAATTGTTTTTTTTTGGTCTGATGCTAAGTAGCCGTCGACTACGCGCGACTACTCACAGCCACATAAGGTTAATAAGGCTTTCTAAGGCGGTTCAATGCAATTTTTAACTTTTTCAAGACATTGTTGGCATTTTTAGAGTTATTTTGGTGGATCGATTTCTTTTTGGCATTAATAAACTTTTAAAGTTTTAGGACTAATTTATTGATTCTTGGTCATTTTTGGCGTTTTTAGAGTAATTTTGGCGATTCTAGAACCTTCGATTTTCATGAGTTACAGACTTAAATGTAACTGTAATTTTAATTATTACAATACTGGAGGGTCGCGAGATAGTTTAATTTCTCAAGGTGTGTTTGAATGGCATTTCAATGCGTTAGGCCGAATTTAGAATCCGTAGGCCAAGTTTGGCAAGTTAGATTTTTAACAATATTTCAACAATTTGCGTCTCTTTATCAAATCTTACGGTACGTGAGAGAGCCAGCCAGTGTACCTTAGCACAGCTGAACTGGTGTTGGAAGTAATACTGAAAACAATTGGTGAGTTGTACTATTGTTAATAGAGTGTTATTTGTTTTGTTTTGATTGCTCATTTCCATCGATCTAATTGAAGAATCAAAGTGAGTGACACAGATGGCGAGTGGGTGAAAATGGTAATGACGTTTTGATATCTGTCAAATTGCATGACATTTTTTTTAGTAAATCATTATTTTTGTAATTGCGGATCTTAAAACTAGGTGTCGCATGACCAGTCTTGGCTTTGCTTTGATTCGCCATTAGAAATAACTACCATAAATCTGGTCGATGTTATTGAACCCTTGGGGAATTGTTTTGCAGAATATGCAGAGAGGTTTGAAGAATGTTTCAAATTTATTCAAATTGATGATATCAGAAAGAGATCTACGTTTTGTATTCTGAGGTCAAAGAATTATCATAAACTGAGATTATTCAAAAACTCAAATCACGCTATGAAACTTGATTCTGATTGAAGAGCTTTTTGAGTGTGTTTATTTATTTCCCCTTAATTTAGTTATAATTGGGTTGTTCAGGGGTATTGAGGTAAACACATATTCGTTATCTGCATTAAAATTGGATCCGATATCCAAAATTTCATCAATTTTGGTACACTGGAACTATTTTAAATAAGTACGATTACATTAGCAAAAATCACCATATTAGCGCCCCTTGTTGGGACTTTGTATGGGAGCGAGCTGCCAACGAATAGATTTAGTGTCAACGATTGATTTAAAAATCGAGATGAATATCTACGGGATCGAAGCTCTATCAGATGATGTATAAAAATCGGTATATTTTCCGAAGTTAAACAACCCAATTGTTTATCTTTTTACGGATACGCGTATTTCGTCTACTAACTACTTGCAGACTTCATCAGTGCCAAGTACTCAACACCAGGAGACAGTGGCTGTACCCCCTCCCCTGTAACTGTCTGCGTAGTTTATGGACATTCCCTTAAAGGTATTCAATGCGCTTCTTAATACAGGAAGATGCATCGAAAATCCTTAAGTGATCCGCCCCTCGTCATGATCATCATCAGAGAAGCAAACCGAATTTTGTCACTTGTCTCGTAACAATATGTGTTTCCCTAGTTTTAAGTAAGCCAGGACTGGTGGAAGATCTGCTACCGTAACGCATCACGAAGAGGTGATCTACCCGCGTTACGGGGCATCCGCCGGGTTTTATATGAACTGTGTCTCTGGGAATCATGTGAAGTGTATAGGTATTTTCATACTACGTCCTCTAAGCATTCAGCAACATTCAACCGTGTGCCACATATTACATCGCATAAGCAATAAAGACAAACCATGCTCGATTGCAATCTACATCACAGTCCACACGTGTACATCAAACGTTACCAATCTGTAGATTGCCAAATTACCTATCACTGTTACTGACGGTTGACTTTTTGTCTAAGATTTTGATACAACACTCTCACAGGACGGATATAGATTGTTTTGTACAACACTACGATTGCTATTGGAACCAAAAATCTACATTTAATTTGGATTAGATTTTTTTTTGCCGGATTTTATACACGCTCAATCTCTTTTTATTTTGCTTTCTCGAAAGAAGGTTAATTTGAGCTGCGTGTTCGACTATCAACCCTATCTAATACCTTGATCGCTTTCTTAGCATTCTGTCTTGCCGTAACGTTGTTCGATGTGCCAACATTTGGAAGACGATAATCTTTGCCGCCTGCTAGAATTATGACCGAAAAAGATGTAAGCATTTGTAAGTCAAAATTTGACAATAAGTGTTTAGTTGCAGAGTTTCCATTACCGGTTCCATCCGATCGAGACAGGGTTCGCTTGGGATTCAACGCTGCCGGAGGGGGCAGAGCAGCGCGTGCCATTCCTCGGCTGCCACCGCCGTAGCTATCGTCATCTAGTACGGCGTAGTTCGGGTTGCCACCGCCGCGACCCGGGATGTGATGAGCATCTTCGATGTACTGCTGCTTCCGATTACCGGCCAGGGCACTGGACTGATAGCTACTGTCGACACCGTTGGCCATGGCCGGATGGCTGGTGCGTTTGCTTCCTCCGCTACCTCCAGCTACAGCATGCCCACCGCTGGCGGAGGCGTTCGGTTGTTTAGGAAAACTGAGCTTCATTTCGACGTCCGGTGCCATATCTGGGTTGTAGTTGCCGGCCACCGTTACCGTCCAGCCTGGAACGATAGTGGAATAATAATAAACGGTTATAAAGTGGTTGGTTAATGTGGGAGATGGTATGTTTGTATTATCATTATTTTTTAAACTAACATCATCTTAAATTTTCCTAAGAATTATGAAGACGCATGGTTCTTTTTACGTTAACCTTTAGCGACGATGCATAAATGACGTAGGATTTTTGGGGGGATCTGCAGAAGTTTTCCCAAGCCATGTGTCAGGTTTATTTAAATACGATTGGAAACTAACGATTTTAAATTGGCTCACTACTTGACTATTGGTCCCAAGCAAATCGATTAACGTACCCCATTCTAGGCAAAATTTTAGCACTACACTATGTTTGTTTTGATTCGCCATGAAAGTTTGACAGATTAAATGAGGGGTTCGTGGATTTTCATATGTTTCGAGGGGTGCATCGATTAGGTTGGGACCGAAGATAGTACCAGAGCTGAGCCAAAAAGTTGAGCACGTTTCTTCGGGACCTTCTGGTCTTAGAGTTACCTCTATGATACTAAGGCGTAGGGGGTCAAAAATTGGTCAAAAATAAGCTACCATGGTTGCATGGTCGTTAAAGACTGATTTACAACCTTAGTTTATTTGAAATATATTTAAAGGTATCTTGAAATAAACCATAATTCAAAGTTTTAAAAATTATACTAGGAATGTTATTTAGGAATATGGTCCTCATTTGGGCCTCTCGGTCAAACACAGTATTGAAGCAATTCACCTATGGAGTAGTTCCAGGCCAAATAGCATAAAGGTAATAAACTTCAGACTCCCCCTTCTCCTATTTGCGTGAAACTTTTATAATAGTTCGTTGTTAATGAGCAATAATTCACATAAATTGGTCATTTTGAATCTTGCATAAATTTTCATACTATTCTGTTCTATATTTTATAATAAATCATAAATCAGGAGTAAAGCAAGGTTGCAAATACTCATTTCAGCTGAAACAATGTTGTTTTTTATTATGAAATAATTAGATGCTATGATCATATTTTGAATTGGTAAGATGCAAGAAGAGGTTGCAAAGAATGTGTTTGACATATTAAACCTGTTTATTTCACTTCATGAGAGTCACAATCAGCGATTTTTCATAAACTCACTCACTCACTCACTCATTCACTCAGCGATCAGCAAATCGCTGATTGTGACTCATAGAAAGCAAAATTGGTAGGTTTTATGTTTCAAACGCATACTTTGTAACCTCTTCTTGTAAGTTACAAGTAAAATATGTCATGGTTTTATTATTCCGAAATACAGCTGAAATGAGTATTTGCAACCTTGGAGTAAAGATCTTGTCGTTCATAAATCAGGAGAGTAGCTCTTATCGTATCAGTTGAGAAACACATTTGCGCTCATCTATGAACATTTTAGACATTATACTTGTTCTGGACCAGGGCCCCACAAAGTCACTTTCAATCGATAATCGTCAAGCGACGATGAAGCTGTCAACCATCAGTTTCTACTGAAAGTCATTCAGTCTTCTCTTCGAGCAGATTCCCTTCAAAATCAACAGAACCACTTTCGATGAGTTTTCATGCTGTTTGTTTTGGCTTGACTCGTGTTCATTTCTTCTTTCATTGTCAAATGAACTTACTTTTGCATTGAAGCGAAACTGTTCGATCCAAATTCGTGCAGTTTTTGTGACTTTTGTTGCATGTTCACTCGGTTCATTTAAGCGTATGCGCATAGATCTGTACACGTGGATGTCAAATTTATCACTGTCGGGTGGTTTGTTTACTCATCAATATGGGTATTTTTTTATTCGGGGTGACGTCTAAAGATCGAAAATTGATATGCGACGCCATTTTGAAATCCAAGATGTTGGCTTCCAGTTTAAGAAAAATGAGGAAATGCTGTCAAATACTTATCAATAAAGGTATTTTTGGAATCGGGATGATGTCTAGAGGATGAAAATCGATATCCGACGCCATTTTGAAATCCAAGACGGCGGCTTCCGATTTGCGGAAAAGTGTCAAATATCCTAAAATATGGTTATTTTCAGAATAGGGATGAGACGTAAGTGCCGAAAATTGATTTCACGCCGTCTTTAAATCCAAGATGGCGGCTTTGGTTCAGAAAAACTGTCAGATACCGTACAATGTGGGTTTTTTGGAATCGAGCTGATATCTAGAAGAAAGAAATCGATGTCCGACGCCATCCTGAAACACAAGATGGAGGCAACCGATGTCAGAAGAAGTGTCAAATCGTCATCATCAAAGACGCGTATCGTTCCGAAAATACCCAGATCTTAGGGTATTTGCTACTTTTTTTGAAACCCGATGGCCACCATATTGGATTCCAAAATGGCATCGGATATTGAATCTCGGCATCTACGCGTTGTCCCTGTTCTGAAAATAACCATATTGTAGGGTATTAGACACTTTTTCTGAAACCGCCATATTGGAGTCCAACATAGCATCGGGTATCGATTTTCGGCAGTTGTCTCCGTTCCGAAAAATACCCATATCTTAGGGTATTTGACACGTTTTATGAAACTTGATGACCACTATCTTGGATTGCAAAATGGCGTCGAATATCGATTGTCGGCATCCCCGTTCCGAAAATACCCATATTGTAGAATAGTTGACACTTTCTGAATCCTGATGGCCGCCATATTGGATTCCAACATAGCGTCGGATATCGATTTTTGGCATCTACGCGGCATCCCCGTTCCGAAAATACCCTATTGTAGGGTATTTGACACTTTTTCTGAAACCCGATGGCCGCCATTTTGGATTCCAAAATAACGTCGAATATCGATTTTCGGCACCATCGCGTCGTCCCCGTTCCGAAAATACCCGTATTGTAGGGTATTTGAGACTTTCCCTTACCCCGATGGCTACCATCTTAGACTCCAGAATGGCCTCGTTAATTTAATTTTTGTTTAACATAAAATAATATATTATTACAGTTTTGGCACATTGATACATTGTGTTTCAGCCAATAGATGGCCAAATTTGAGTGCTCTAGGACTTTGTTTACCCCCAGACGATAATAGGTTAAGGTATTGCCATTTCCCCTAGTACATCCAAAAGAATGCAGTCACGGCTAAAATTTCTGCTCACAACACTCTTTTTACCGTTCTCCTATTCACCACCAGAGGTTGAATCGATCGCTTAGTTTCTATTAAAAAGGCCCCGTGGCTGCGGAAAATACAACGCTGCTGATACGCCGTTTAAATAGAAACTAAGTATTCGATTCAACCTGTAAAATTTCTACCTTGTTCAACTCTTATTCCTCGTCGATCCTTGTTTGGATACCCTACTCGAGGTAATCCTTCTTCGATATCGATTTGGAAAATTCCTCTTCGATCCTTCAGATTATTATAGTAATCTGCTTGGAAGTCGATTTGGATAAAAATTTACTGCCGCCATGGCGCCTAAAAAGAAAAGAGCAATCTCTTGATCCCCCTTCTGATGAAATTAATTTGAGCAATCAATTCGATTTGCTCACGGGTGATGAGAATGATCCATCTTCCAGGAAAAATTCTAGTAAACTTTCCCGGCTTAATGCCAAGAAGGAAAAAAATCCCCTTATTGTGATAACCACTTCCGATTTCCATGCTCTTTGCATGGAACTTTTGAACTTCGTGAAAGTTAAGTTTTCACTACAAATTGGACGTCGGGGTGAATGCCGTGTATTGGCTGAAACCTTGGACGGATTTAAATGTCTTCTCAAGTATCTTACTGAGAAGCAGTACAATTTTTTTACTTACGACACCAAAACTGAACGTGTGGTCAAGGTTGTCATGAAAGGACTGTCCTGGATCAGATTAAAGATGAACTGGCAAATGGAGGCGAACCAGCCCAAGGCTGAAAGCCTCCCTAATAAAGATAAATAATAATAATTATGAACTGGCAAAATTACTTGAAGTTGTGCCACTCCAAGTAATCAAAATGAAAATGAATTCCCGTCCTGGCAATTCGCGCAACGGGATTTCTAATGATTTTTATTTACTTCACTTCAAGTCTAGTGAACTAAACAACCTTAAGGCCTTGGAAAAAGCTAGCCTTATGCTCCATGTCCGAGTGAAGTGGGAACACTTCAGAAAGACTGGAGGAAATTTCCAAAACCTCACCCAGTGCCGTAAGGGCCAGGGATGGGGTCACGAAACAAAACATTGCTACATGTCAGCCAAATGCATCAATTGTGGTTGCATATTGCCGTTATAACTGAAACGTTCCTTAAACCTGACCATAAGGTGAAGAGGGACGCACATTATTTCATTTATAGAAATGATCGTCTTGATGAACCCTGTGGTGGCGTTGGCATCATTGTTAATAGACGAATCAAACATAAAATTCTTTCTTCATTTGAAACTAAAGTTTTTGAAACTTTGGGAGTTTCTCTCGAATCAAAATTTGGACAACTTACGTTTATAGCTGTCTAAAGCTCGATTCAAAGTTAATCTGGACGCACGGTTTAATACACCACCGCGCCCCTGGTGGTTGGAACAAAAAACGTTTGACAGGCATTTGTTGATGTTTCATTGACGAAAAAATTGGTGAAAAGTTTTTCTCGATTGATCGACGCATCCCGAAATTACGGATCATGGAACTTGAGAAAAGAAAATTAATTGTGCACAAACATCTAGAGAAATCTTCGTGGTCTGCTTAAAAAATAGCAAAAGTGTTAAAATTCCCAAAGTCAACGGTGAGTCTTGTAATCAAACGTTGCAAGGATACTCTGAGTGTGGATAGAGCACAGCGCATCTATCATAAAAGTGGCACTAGGGACAAAGAGCTGAGGAGAAAGGTGTTGAGGTACGTGAAAAGCAACCCAGGTGTCTCCATACGTGATTTGGCAAAGAAATACGATTTCAACGTTTCCACCGTGCGTAACATCTTTTCAAGAGAAGGATATAAGTCTTTTGTGCAAGTAAACATCTGAATCGCTCCCTGAAACAAAATTTAGTGGCCATAAAGCGAGCACGATTACTATACGAACGAGTTTTGACGAAATTTGATTATGATTATAAACAAATCCCCGGACGAAAATTTTACCTGGCATCTGGTCGTGGGGATGTCCCATCCAGATATAAATTTGTTTTTGCTGATAAGTTTGCTCGGAAACTAATGATTTGGCAAGGAATCTGCAGTTGTGGCCTTAAAACCAAGGTTTTCATCACATCTCACACAATGACGTCGAAGGTTTACATTGAAAAGTGTCTGAAAAAGCGGATTTTACCCTTCTTTCGGCAACACAAGACCAACGTTTTGTTTTGGCCGGATCTAGTCAGCTGCCACTACTCTAAGGAGGCACTAGAATCATAGAGGTAACTCTAAGACAAGAGGGTCCCGAAATAACGTGCTCAACTTTTTGGCTCAGCTCTGGTACTCTCTTCGGTCCCAAGCTAATCGATTCACCCCTCGAAACATGGGAAAATCCACTAACCCCTCATTTTATCTGTCAAACTTTCATAGCGAATCAAAACAAACATTGTGTAGTAGTAGAATTTCGACTAGAATAGGGTACGTTAATCGTTTGCTTGGGACCAATAGGCTAGTCAAGTAGTGAGCCAATTTAAAATCGTTAGTTTCGTTTTGATTGTTGCTAGAATGGTATGCTGCAATCAATGTTAATTTCATCGAAAAATATTGGGCAATTGTCAAGCGAAAACCTCGAGGATGCGGTAAAGAAGTTACAAATGCACAACAAATGCGTTTAAAGTGGAATAAGTTCGCCGGTACAGTGTCACCAGCGACTGTGCAGATCATGATGGCATCGATCACAAGTAAAGTGCGACAGTTCGTTCGAAACGGTGAAATGTAATAACTTGTTATAAATCGTTTGTAAGCTGAATAAATACCCTTTAGTTTGACGTTTTGATCAACCGTGTATGTTGTTTAATTCTTGAGTTATGATCACTTGAATGCGTCCAATTTTACTTTGAATCGGGCTTTATAATATATTATCGTTGGGAAATCGTGATATAAACATCTCTAACATCAAATTTTATCACTTCATGGTTTTATATCTGCTCCTCCAAAAAAAGGCTGATAATTTTAACTGAAAGTACATGCATAAGATTATTTTGGCGCTGCAAGAGGGATGTTTATGAACTACGTAGAAAGTTTTTGATAGGACACTTTCCTACACAATAACCACATGGAAGCAGAGCTTATATGAGTGACGACTGAAGCAGAGTAATTGCTGCTGCTAACGAAGTTTCGAGCCTACGTGGTTGAAGAAACTGTTAGCTGATGTTCAACTACCACTTGAACAACCAATACCAATCCAAAAAGACAATAACGGATGTCTTTTCATAGCTAAAAGTCCTAAATCGAATAGAACTCAGTGTCAACATTTCAAAGGGGCGTAATTGCAATTGTAAACATGGCTTTAGCCGTCGACTTCTCGCGAATAAAAGCTCACTCATGAAAACAATGGCTCCAACAGGTAGAGCTTCTTCTACACGCTAGCATTGTTAGTTTGGAGTGGTGAGCTTTTATTTGCGACGGCTAACTAAAGTCATTGTTTACAAAAGCAATTACACCCCTTTGAAATGTTGGCACTGAACTAACATGATGATGTAAGGAGTTACCAGTTAACAGAAATGTCAGTTATTACATATCACAAGTTATTTAGAATGATAATAAGCACAAGTTATTCAGAATGGTAATGATGATTTCTGGGATAAAAATGACTTATTTTTACCCAAGAAATAAAATCAGTTTTTTTTACAGAAAAGCCTGTTGATGGCAATGACTCTAACACTTCATAGCGAAAGCATTGCGGAAGCACTGTGCCACTACGGATGACATCTATTCTCTGAACTATAGGTATTTAGCATGTAACCTCCGAAAAATACTCTACCTTGATTGGTCGTGCTCTGGGTGATTCCGCTGACGATGCTCGGAGCCGCCGCCGCAGCAATAGCCGCTGCGCTGGTCGTGGTGGTCGCCGCCGTCGTTGCACTCACCGCGTTCATCCGCGAATCTCCCGGCGGCAGCATATCTTCCATAGCGGGTCGCCTTCGGATAGGGCTCAGCGTGCTCTCCACCATGGTTGGGTCATCTTCGTGCTGCCGAGCAGCCTTCCGCCACTTGTTGCCCCATTTGCTTGCTGCGCTTATCTTTTGCATCGTGAGTTGGGTGAGATTCCGTTCGCTGTTGTGCTTCCAGCGGGTGGCCGGTGGTAGGGCGGCACAATTCTTGAACGGGCTCGAATTAGAACTCGAGTTCGTCGAGCTGGAGGAAGTGGTTTCGTCGTAGCTCTGGGAGGAAGCACAAGGAGGTTTCGATTTATCTTTCGGGAGACTTTCGAATCCTAGGGTGGTTTTGGATTTCGAGTGCCTCGGGGGTGACTCCTTGTCCAAGGGGAGCTTTAGGTTGATCTGTTTGTCTCGTTCCTTGCGGTTGCTGAGTTCTTTGGCGGTTTTGGGCAGTACTTTGATAGGGGTTTTGAGTTCGTTTTTGATTTCCTTCTGAACGGAGTGCACGACGCTGGAGGTTCGGTTGAGGCTGTTGACGTGTTTGGGCCGGTTAAGCACGGTGGTTTCGGACTTTTTGCGAGTGAGTTTCTTGGAAACTTCTTCCAGCTTGTCCGAATCGCCGGTTGATGGCACGTAGGAGCGTTTGATCTTTTCGTTGGTGGTGGAGCACTTTGTACTGACGGTGTCGGAGGTTTTGGTTTTGGTCTTGGTGTGGGTGTGGTCAGTCTTTTTGGTGGTCTCGGTGTAGAGCCCGTTGATTGAGGTCGCTGTGGTACTGAGGCCGGTTGATGTGCTGGGGTCGGGCTGTGTGTCTTTGGAAGAGTTATGGGATGGTTTTGGGGTGTGGTTAGGGGTGACTGGGGGAGGCGGTGCAGGGTGGTCTCGAGGTTTCTGTGGTTGTGGGGTTTTCTTTGGAGGAAGAGATATTTCTTGTAGAGTAGGGGTTGGAGTTAGTTCCATAATTGGAGTCTTGGGAGACGGTGGTATGGGGGACATTTGGATGTTGGGAGGGGTCGGTGGAGCAGGGAAGCTTTTACTGGGCGTATGAGCCTTGGCTTGGCAGTAGAAACAAGTTTCGGATGGGTTGCCGGAGTGTTTATGCAGTTCGGGATTACAGAAACAGCAACTACTGCAAGTCTCTGATGTTTTTGGTGCATCTTCGCTGATCGCTGGAGTCCTAACGGTGGTTATAGCTGGGATATGGTGACTATCAAGCGTATCGGATGATGTGAGATTCATCCGCTCATCAGGTTTTAGTTCGTGTCGAACAAGCTCATGGTTGTCAAAAGTGGCATTCAGAAGTGCAGATCTCAATGATCCAGGACTTCGGTCGGCTATTTGACCGAATAAGCTTTGGTGATTCTCGGTGAGTGGCGTTCGATGAATCGACGTCTCATAGTACTCTATTTTGGATTGGATTACCTTACAGTCAGCCGTCTCGTAAACATGCCAAGCATTTTCCTCTCGTATCTGGCGGTAAGGATATATTGATTCATTGCAATCACAAGGGTTGTCTACGTTTACCTCTTTCACCGAATCTGCAGTAGACTTGAGCTCGTTGACGCTGTGGCCTCCGTGCTTAGCAGATCTAATGTCTTGTTCGATGTGCACTGGAATGGCGAGCTCACGGGATATCATCGTGTCTTCGTGCCTCAACGGTGAAGGCTTCACATTGAGACTATCGGTGAAGCAGGATTCGTCTGAAAATTCACCACTGGTCAGTCTCCGATTACATCCGTTGGAGTTGGCTGAGATGGCTAGATATTGATTGCAAGCTTTTGTGACGCCAGCTGTGCCATTGCAGCTGTTGTATGAACCGATGGTGGCTGCGGTTGATCTTACATGATCTACGGACACTACCGACCCGGCGGTTAACGTCGCTGGCGTCACGCTGATATTTACACTTTGATGGTGATGGAAGTGATCAACTATGTGATGTTGGGTGGATGTGTCGTCATGCCGAATCACTCTGCTACCACTGTCGCGTGCAATGTTGCCAGTTACGATGGTTTTTACAATGTTTCTACGCTCATGCTCTTTTGCGGTAAGGTTCGAATGGTGATGGTGGTGGCCATTGACTTCTAGTGCTCCGTTCACCACTACCGGTGGACGGTGAACGTCTGAAAAAAGTGGGTGATGCGTGTATGTTACAGATACCGTCAAGGATTGTGATGCAGGAAGAAACTCAAACAAAATAAATGAATTCAAAAAATTTTATTACATTACATGGAGCTACGCAGACTACTAAAGCTACAGAATCTCGATCAAAATTCAGTCAAATCTATACATTCTCAGCTACCAAGCATGTCAAGACTAGAATTCATATATCTACAATTAACTGGATTAAAAATCTCCTGAAATACAAAAGAAAATATGGTTGATAACAATCCTTATGTAGAGGCGGTAATATCACTCAACGGGTGCAGTTTAGTGTAAATAGACATACATTACTACAAGACGGACATTATGTGAAAGAAAAAACGAAAAATCAGGGTTCCAGCAAAGTGCAAAACACGAAACCATGTTAAACCTGGAAAGAAATTCAGAACAAAAAATGATAAACAAAAATCTACAAACTAATAGATAGATGGAAGGAAAGAGGTACATAATGAAAATATGAACATGGTGTCAATAAAACTCACGACATCTGGGCATAATAACAATAAAAAATGTATACCGTAAAGCTGCTGAATCTGGACAAATTTAAAAGTCGATTATCATTGCCTACTGCAGTCAACTCTTCACATATAGATTTTATTTTCCGTCGATCTACCAACGCCAGGGAGATAGCTCCCGCACCTCCCACCCTTTAAGGCCCAAGCGCAATGTGAGCGGAGGCGGAACGGAAACGGAAAGTTTGACAGTTGTCACAAATGACATCAAGATGACTAACCGAAGTCGATTTGATTCTAACTAGTTTTCAATCCGACAAGTAGGCCCTCGCAGATCGGGCTTTTCCGCTGTCATTGCGCTTGGGTCTTAACTATCGAAACATGAACTGATGGACCGGGGAGCCGTTGGAAGGCGTGATCAGAGATGTTATGCCTCAGAAAATCCCGATGGCGCCGACTGGGATTTGAACCTAGGTCGTTTAGAGTGAGAGGTAGTCACCACCGGCGCCGCTGTCCATTACTCGATGTTCTATATATTGCCAATTCAGAGAAAAATTAGCATCTGGCGTCAGATTTGACAACCGAAATTGACAATCGTCACTGACAGCTGCTTTTGGAATTTTCTAACACTGAACCAAAATCGTTCCTTGAAGACCTTGTTCGTATGACAACACATTAAACATTCAAGACAAAATTTAAAACAAAAAGTCCGATGGAAGTTCGCAAGATAAATTTAATTAATAAAATCTGTCTAATTAATAAATCTGAAGCTATTTGAATTGAAAAGTAAATGAAAACTGCATTAGCACAAGAAGATCCTCCAACCAACCTATGGACTACTACCAACCCCTAATAAACAAATACCATAAACGAACTGTATCCCGGATGGGTAAACTATCCCACAAATGGTTTGGATGATACCCCGAACACGTCGTTAAGCTCTCTTTTATGGTTATTTTTATTAGGGACACTACTTCATTTCATGAGGACACCCGTCTCCACAATTATTTCCAGTATAGCCTGAGTGATACAATTGATAATCCAGTGGATCGGGTCGAATGCATTAAGCAGTTCGATCCGTCTTCTACCGAGGCTACGAAGAATGATAGTCATTATCCGGTTGTGATTTGTTCCGTGTTGTGTTTATGTTTGACAGCTGCGGATGTTGCTTCTTCTTATGTGTGAAATGTCAATGCATGCTAAGGATTTCTGTGAATCAGCAATATCGATATGTGACCACTTTTTTTCTACATGCCGATGTATGTCCCTTCAAAAGGTCTACATGGATAGAAATCTCCTTATACCTTTTGGCAAATTTCTATTGCTGATTATTCATAAAATGTATAAGTCAACTAATAAGCAGACGCTTTGCAAAAAGTTAATGAAGCTCATGTGTCAAATGAAATGTATAAGCGGTCACACATACCTTTTATGCATTCTTATAGGACCTATGTGGTTTGTCTTATGGAATGTATAAGGCTGATGTTTTGGCAAAAATGTATAAGTGAAACACATGAATAAAATAATTGATTTTCGTTTCGTGTAGTAGGCTTTATCTCAATCTATCCATATTTCAACGGTCCCTTCAATTTCGAGACATGTAAAGTTGACTGTTTGCTCAAAATAACATTTCCTTCATTTTATCGTTTCATGCTGCAAACCAGACGTGAAATTGAATAAAAAATTAAATGTCCGGATTCGCGAGTCGTCCGGTGTTCGGTGCATTACGGTTGTTGTCACATCCCATTTGTCGTGGAATATTTTTCCTGAAAGATCTAAATTTTCTGAAGCTAGTGGGAAGTTTTTCTTCAAATCCACAGGCAAAAGAGCGTGCGGTTGGACTTGCTCATAGTACAATATTATTGTGTCAGCGGCTGTGATATTGTTCTAGTGACGTTTATCACTAATGGGGTGTTTACATCTGTGTGGATTTGCTAGCGCTAGTGTACTAGTCAACTAGCACGAATTTCAGTTTCTCCTGAAATCTCATGCTGGTAGACGTTGATGCCCTGTTTACATTATGCTGGTGAGCTTTTTTGCTAGCAGCTGGCTCATTAGCGCTAGTGAAATAGCATGAGTGTAAATACGCCATAACTAAAGCTCCACGTTGCCAAAAGCATGTCCAGTCGGTGGTGTGTTATAATGCAATTCTTCTTTACCCAACTATTGTGTTGTTCTCTCGTCATGACCAACGTAGTCATCTCAGAGAGAAAAGCAGTAGGGTGGTGTTGTGTAAATGTCATTTTCAAGGACAAATCTCCCGCGATATTTACAGAGATACTTCTGTCACTATCATCGGATTAGAAAGCGGTGATAGAGATTTTCATCCAAATCTCATCGATTTTTTTTTGTCATGACAGAACGCGACAGATTACGTACTGTTGCTTGCCTAAAATAATTTAAATCGGCTAGACATTTTGATGCCAATACCGTATGAGAATTATTATGATTATTGGAAAATGACAAAAAGGCTCATGATAGGTAGTTTCATCTCGTGATAGTGAGAGGACCTGTTTTCTCATTGTCACATGACGGTCGAGATATTTACCAGCTCTGGCTGTGTACCATCATCAGCATTGTTGACGGTTACTCCCACCTTGAGTTGTTACATTCAAAGGTATTTTTGTTACTTCATACGTGAAGTTTACGACTTTCAGAGTTTCAAGCTCAATCAAGCAATTGTAATCAAATAATGAGAAAGTCACGAACAAGTTCTCATTTTTACTCAGGATAAAAGACGCCAATTTGTGAGCGGTGCTTAGAGAATGTAAACAAAGGCAAGAAAATTAATATTTTTCAAGTAAAATAACTTGAAAATTGAAAGTGTTCGACTCCGCACCACATAGTTTATAACACCTTTTTTATCCTTCAAAATGTAGTTTTATTTTCAAAACAGGAGAGTTTAAGGGGGTAGTACACTCTGTAACTTTTTAAAAAAATCGATATTTTTTTTGGATTGAAAAAAAAAAATTGTTTGAATCTCTATTTTATGGGAAACTTTACCTGAAGTCCGTCCGACATTGGGATCGAAAGTAATAGGCCTAAAGGCGAATCAAAGCCCTGGCCCGCCCTCCAACGTCTCAAAACTTCACGCGTTTCTCTCGAAACACGATTTTTCAAATTGGCGTAGGCAAACACTTTTCATCCGATTTGCAATCCGCTTGAAATAATATATCCTTAACTTTTTTCGATATTTGGTGCATACTTTAGTCTTCATTTTTCGTGTGAAAAATTTGACTTTATTTTCAAATCGCACCCATTTAAAAAAAAATAATCAGCATATCGAAAAAATCCTACGTGGAAATGTATCTGAAAATAAGAGAAAAATGTTCCATGTTCACATGGGCGAGCAGTGCACTATGGTCCGAATCGACAATTTAGCAGGAAAAAAATGTTTTCTCCGTTCTTGTTCATTTTAGATGCTAAGTGTCTTGAGAGATGTTGTTTGTTATCATATCATGCTTCTTGTGAGAAAAAATCTGGTTAGGGTGGTCCTTATTTAAATCCAAATTCGAATTTTATCTTTTTATTTGAGGTTATAGGTAGTTGCACAATTGCGCAAAGTTGTATAAAATATTATTTAAGACAACTTTGCTGAATACAGCATTTATCTCTCTCTTTAATTGACTGTTTTAGAGCATTTATTAAGTATTTAGTCATTGTGTCCCTAAAAATCAGTTTTTATACTAATTTTTTTAAACTATTTTATTGTAGAACAAATTTGGCGCACGGTTTTGCTCAACAAGCATGTTGATAAGCCTTAACGTTGGAAAGTTATAGACTGTTTTGCCCAAAAAACCAAGGGGTGTTAAAATGCTTATATCATATGGAGTTGGATCGCTAAAATTTGTCTTGTGGCAGCATCTGAAAAGTCATACTTAAAGAAATATTTGAGCAAAAAACTGCGAGGACAACTTTCTTTAAATTTGAATGAATCACTTTTAAAAATTCCCTAAAAAACATGAAAACTACCTGACCATGAGTTTCAAAACAAAACAACATACTGTCTTGAGCAAAATTGTAGGTTTTAAAGTCTCCATTGCACTTTTTTTGTGTGGAAAGTAAAATAAAAAAGGTAGAATCAATTATATTTTGTTTCGTGATACACCCTATGTCAATTATTAATTGTTTTGGGAAACAACCTTTTAGTCAACTGTCATTGTACGGATTGATATACGGAAATCTAAGAGGCGATCTTGGATTCAAATGTGTGAAAATATAAACAGTACTCCTATAGTCGCGAGATTACAGAAAACTCTTGCGAAAGACCATACGATTGAACATGGTAATCTTAAATATCATGATGGAGGTTTTACCAAATCTCCTTCGGAAACTATAAATTTAACATTTTCCAGGTTCGGTATTGTGTGTGGAATCAGATATTTCTTATTCTGTTGATGTAATGTGTTCTATAGAGACCCCGCCAGTGTCTCAGAGAACAGAAAACACCATACCAGATATAGCTGATGAAATTTTCACAATTGCCAGAGTGGAGAATGCTGTGAGAT